AAAATGCCACGTGAAAATCCATCCCAAATATTGCAGATAATCTTAAAAAAACTGGGGTATGGCCATTTGCTAGATCCGAGAGCAAATGAAGAAGGGGTACAGAACAGGGAGGGCTTTACCGCATCGCACGTGCGCGCATGACAAGCTTCACCGCTTTGCTGCGGTGTGCTCGGAGAGCGGAAAAGCGTCCTCGGTTCGCTGGGCTTACAAGTCTGGGGTAGACACCTGATATGTTCTTTGCTTTATTTTTTTTTAACTTTTCAGATATTAGAGATGTCCACTTATTGTGGCAAGTGATGGTCAGCTGTAAGGGGCAATAGAAAGAATGCACCCATTTTATTATAGTATAGGGTGTTTTCACTGACGTAATTTCGTCCACCATTTTGTTGTTGTGAGCTGTCTGGCGTGTGCCAAACTCGAGCATTCCAAGGATTTACATGCCCCCTCAAATGCGTAGAGCACCGCTGACATCATCTCAACCGGTTACGATGTAATTCTTCAATGTAGTAAATTTGTTTGAAAAAACAAACTAACAACGAAATGGCGAATTGACGTCATGTGCAAACAACCTATACTATATGCAGCTCAAAGATGAAAACCATGTCAGACATTCAACTGAATTTCACTGTAGCTTAAATTAAGCCTCCACTTCTCAGAATTTACAAAAAATAAAACACAGAGTTCCTTTTGAATGAGCTGGCTCAGTCACTTGAGGCAGCCAGAAATTTTGCTTCGGTTGTATGTGTAAACCTGACGAAAACAATGCACGGTAGCTGAATATATATTTTGCTAGCACAGTTCGTTTCAGATATATGTTGTGGTGGAGTAAATAGAAAGGGTGATGCTATTCTATTGTTATAAAGAATATAAACATTTCCATAGTACTATGAATAGGTCATTTGTTTATTTTTGTAGTTTTATTATGAAGCGGGTCATCTATCAGCTGAGTACAAAACAAAATTATATTTTTTGTCTGCAGAAAACACTCAAGTTTGTGCTGATCAAAACTGTGGTGGCGCAATGTCTTTTATAAACGTATATTTCTTTACTTGTGCTCTTACGTGTTTCTCGTGCTATCCGTTCTGTTGTTCCATAAATATATTATCTGTATACATCTTCTATTCTATGTACAAGATCTGTGTAAATAATAAAATATATGTATGAAAAGTAAATGTGTGCTCCTTGCCTCTTACCCACTTGATGAGCACCTTCTCTGAAGTTGCTCATAGTAATTTATGATATATATATATATATATATATATATAATCAAAGCCCCAGAAGATAAGGAAATCGTGGAGAAATAAAATAAGGCAAGCAAAGGGGGGAGGGGGCGGGGTGCAGGCAAGCGGCGGCGAACCGGCCGCCTACGACGCTACATATAGGGGCCTTAAAGGAGCTGTGCAACGATTTTAACGTTGAAAGAATTGGCATTTTCTACTTTTGGCATCGTTTATCTTGTCACAAAGGACAGAAAACACACCTCCTTCCTTCGAAATGTTGCGATTCTGCCACATAATCGCGAGGCAAAAATTAGAATATTCCCCGACCCGCAGCAACGGCCATGAGAACAACGCGCCATGACGTCAATGCGGGTCTTGTAGAAAGATAGCAAGTTGTGCGATTGCCTGCTCTATAAAAGGTAACTTTATTATAAATATTGTCGTTCCAACATAAATGTAAATACAGCAAAAATCTGGTATATTCGACAAAACTTTTATTATACGGAGTTTTAGTGGCGCCATCTATCCTAGGTCCACAAAACCGTCAGCTCTATCTGCTACCGCGAACGGCCGCCAGAAGCCGGAAAGGGGGGAACAGGGCAGCGCCAGACGGGGATGGCCGGATTCGGGTGAGACTTTCCTTCTTTCATGTACCATATTCGCGCTGCGCCAGCACGTGGTCACGCGGACGCGAGCAGACGAGTTCTCATTCCTCACTGACTGCTCTAGAGAGAGAGCTTCACAGGAACCCCGCACGACCCCCATTGACATCACAGCACACGTGACTCGGAAGATGGTAAAGGAGTTGAGAGGTGCCGCAAACCTCAATTTTTGTCCATTTTTAAAATAAAAACTAGGACATGCAGGCAAAAGCGTTTTTTGTTTTTTACTTCAGAAAGGTCAAGACACCACTCCCAATTTATTTAAGCAAAGCATTGAAATTGTTGCACAGCTCCTGTAACGCTAAACGGAGCCCTTTTATAAAGGGCTCTGACGCTACAGTGCAACTTGTGCCATCTAGGGGCAAATAGGGGCGGCCCGACAGCAGTAGAGGCGGCGATTGTAACGCCAGGTTTTGAGGTGTGAGCATATATGTTAACCGTAGCCCTCTGTTATTCTTCCATCCCCTCTGCCGCCCCCGCTCCGTTCTTTCCTTCCGAATTGCTCCCCGCAACCCGAGTTCTCTAGAGCCAACGAGCCCTCGCCGTTCAAACCACCGTCCATTCTTCTCGCCCTCAGTTCTACCCATCGCCCAAATGTAAACACCAGCCAAGTCGACTCTGCTCGCAAGCCCCGGCGCCCCGGCAGCCGACTTCTTCGCCGCAGCTGTAACCTTGCCCCTCACCTCATAAACTAGCCTCGCCCTCGCCCCTGCCCCGAAGCCATCGCCTCTTCGCCTCAAAATTCTCCAAGCCCGTGTTCTTCTCTTCCAGTTGCTTCCGCCCGTCCCACTGACTCAGACATACCTTCCTTCTCCTGTTCTTTGTTCTTTGTTCTTTCTTCCTGGGGCCTACCACCAGCCCTCACAGAGGCGGCGGAAACAAGAACCGTACGCTTGTGTGCAGAAAGAGCGCCCCGAGGAAACATGGTTGTTAATGGCTGTACCTGTCCTAGTGGCCGGAATGGGTTATTAACATATTTGACGTCGCGTGACGTCACCCTACTTTTCTCTTTTTTTTTCGCTCATCGGTCGCTCTTTTTCTCGCTTCTTCGCTCGCTTGGACGCCCGGAGTGTGTTACTGCAGGCGCGTTTACGCCGGCGATGTGATCTAGTAGCGCGATAACTTTTATCGCAAAAGCGACCATCGCGGTAAAAAAACTTTTTGCGATACGATCTAGTCACAGAGCGGCTGAGTTAATCAACGGCGTTCGGGGCAGAGTTTCCGAGAAGCGACTCTCCAACGAAGGTGTTGGACTCGCACATAGCGCGCGCCAGTGTGATCATCTATATTCTTTTTTTTTTTTTTAGATGCGGAGCATCTCTTGCTCGGGTCTATGTCCCGCGGCGTCGTAGTCCTCACTCACACTACGCATGCGCAACTCTCCTCCTTCCCTCTCTCCAACAGTTGCGCGTTACTCTCTCCGCTCTCTCTCTCTCTACCAGCTGCGTGCACTTCGTGTGCGTTCGATTCTACTCACACCGCGCGCGCATGCGCAACTCTCCTCCTCTAGTCTCCTCTCCTTCAAGTGTGAATATAGACCGTTTTGCTGAAAGAGGGCGAGAGAGAAAAGGGGAAAGGGCTACCGGCGCTTTCCCCTTTTCTGATTGTGTAGAAAGTGTCAAAGTCCCGGATGAGAGGCTTGGCCGGTGTTGGGTGTGTGCTGTGCCCCAACTTCGTTCGCGCTTTCTTTTCTGTTTTGAACTTGCAAACTTAATTAGAGTAACGGGCTTCGATGGCAACAGTTCCCCGGTCATCGGGACACCATTGCTCGGTCATAGTGTGCACGAATAACGACAGAAAGCGTCGAATACTGTCCGAGGACCTATGTGGCTTGCAATGAATCCGGCAAGGCGAGAGCGGCTGCAATGTCTTTAAGCTCCATCGCTTTCCACATGACCCCGGTCTTGGCGGCAGTGGATTGCGTTCGTAAACCGAAAAGACATTTCCTCAACACCATCTTCTCGACTGTGCTCGGAACAGCTTGTGAATGGAGCGCGCACCGAACGCTGTACCGCCGATGAACATGGGGTACGCTCGCAAGGTGCGTGCCAGTTTTCTCGTGATAATTGCTGTTTCAGCTTTTACAGTTTTGTAACTGAATTTATCTTAATATTGATAATTTCGATGGTGACTGACTCGATTTCATCATTTACAACACTTAGTTGAAAGCTTATTTCCGCCGTCGGGTGAGGCCAGAAATTGTTGAAAAGGTAGTTCTATCGGTTTTCCTGAATAGCGATCCCCTGTGCGATACCAGAGAGCCGACAAAAGCGCTCCTTGGAGTGCCGCTGGTGGGTTGTTTGGGTTGTTTCCGTTGATTGGGCGCTTTGAAGCGCTGGATAGTCGCTCCAGGGTACGACTCGCGTGTTGCGATCTGCGTCTTCGAGCCCAGTGTGTACGTTTCTTTGTTCGAGTCATGGCATCCGCCAGTGCGGCAACGGGGGGAACAGCGGCAGCGAACGTGTGAGGGATAGAAATTGGAGGTTAGTACTCAAAATATTGCATCAAATAGTAAAATAATTCGTGGCTGCTTTGACGCTTTCTGCGGTTCGATATAAGCACATCTAGAACGTCTCCGTCGTTCATCCACAATGAAATATGAGAACACGGACACGCAAGATAAAAGCAGCGCAGCAAAACGATATGTAACAGCTCCGGGTGTTTACAAAAGTTAATTGAGGTTCCCGTTTCGTGTATCGCTTGTTCATTACTAAAAACGGCTGCGTTGAAATGGGCCTATTGCAAGCAAAAATTTATGAATGGTTCATCATTTCCAGTCACGCGGAAAGCGGTGGAGCTTCAAAACATTGCAGCCGCACGTGCCTTGCCGAATTCTATGCAAGCTACGAGGTCCTTGGGCGGTATTCGACGCTTTCTGTCGTTATTCGTGCACCCTATGACCGAGCAATGGTGTCCCGATGGGTGTAGCACGATTGCCCCGCGTGCAGAACCCCTGTCGCAAAAGCCCCGTGTCATTAGCCCCGAATCTCAAAAGCCCCGCGGTCAGTGGCCCCGTTTCATATTCCCCACGTGCCAAAAGCCCCGTCCCATATTTCCCTTCGCACTTCGAAAGTCATTGTTCTGTGTCTTCACCCCGCGCACAGTCATATTTGCCTACATAGCGTAAACGTGCCAAAAGCCGCGTCTTCACTATCCTCGCACAACTTTCTGCCCGAATCAGCTCGGAACAATGACGGTGTTTCGTCCGTCATTGTTGCGCGTCTTCACAGAGGGAAAATGAAACGGGGTCACTGTGCACGCGTGCACAGTGACCCCGTTTCATTTTCCCTCGGTTTGGAAACCCTCGTCTTCACTGCCCCCGTTCCCCTCTGTGCTACGACTGCCGTTGTTCCGATCCTTGACCTCGACTCTTCCGAGGCTACAGCAGAGGGTGCATGAAGTGAAAGGAACAGAAAGGAACAATAAGATTAGGATAACAGACCAGGAAAACCCTTGGGGGAATGACGAAGTAGACAATTGCAGGAGTTTGCAGTTCTTTCGAGGCTGATGGTATATAAGGCCACATAGGCCAGCAGTGGACTCACTTGCCAAAATGGAAGTGGTTAAGACGCAGAAGGGAAAGGATGCCCTCTACTTAGACGGGTACAAGTACTGTTTTCAACGTCGTAACAAGAATGGGACTGTTGTCTGGCGCTGTGACAGGTATCGTGCCATGAATTGCGGATTGACAGTGCTGACCGAAGACGGACGCGTGCTTCAGAATCCAGGTAAGCTTTTGCCGACTTCATCGCGTGCTCTTCGATAATAGCTGCGTATTATGACGTTGTAACCAGTGCACATGATGATATTTTATGCCTCTTTTAATTTGAAGGGGAGCACACACATGCGCCGAATGACGTGAGCGTTAACAGCGCACGTCTGAAGCGTACCTTGAAGGAAAGGGCCATCGCTGAACCCCACGCTGCTGCCCCAGAGATGTATTACCAGCATGTGAGGAGCTTGGTTGGAAAGGCAAGTGATGTCGATCTAAGAATCATACAGCGAAAGAGTTTTCATAGTTAAGTGTAATATTTCTGAACCTATCTTTTCTTTCTCTCTCTCTCTCTTTTTTTTTTTTATCAGGTCGAGGAAGACGTCTTGGCTCAGCTTCCGACCTTTGAGAGTGTGCGCAGTACGATCTACCGAGCTAAAAGACAGAACCAACCTGCACTGCCCAAGACTACAGCTGACGTAAACTTAGCTGGAACATACACTGAAACCTTGGACGGAAGAGAGTTTCTTCTTTTTGACGTGTCAACCAGTGCTGGTCGCATCGTCTGTTTTAGCACAAGCGACGCACTCACAGATTTTTCTGAGGCGAGCGAGGTTTTTGTCGATGGAACCTTTTTCTCGTGTCCATCTTTGTTTTATCAGATGTTGACCATAAGCGTCGTGAAAGAGCGGTGTAGCTTCAATGTCGCTTATTTTTTTGCTACCTGGCAAATCCCGCGACGTTTACGTACAGGCCTTCGAACATTTTAGGACAGCTCTAACTGACCTTAACCTTTCCGTTTCGTTCGACCTTGTCCGAACGGACTTCGAACTGGCGCTAATTCAGGCCATCCTCTTCGTTTTTCCTGGCGCCCGTCACCGAGGCTGCCACTTCCACTTTTCCCAGGCAATCTGGCGGAAAGTTCAGGAGCTTGAACTCTCGAAGGCCTATCGCTTGGACACCTCCGTGGCCGGCTTCGTGAGAAAGATGATCAGTCTCGCTTTTGTCCCCCCGAACTTCGTGCGAGTAGCTTGGGGCAACCTGAAACTTACGGCGCCTACGGACGCGCGAATTCCACTTTTTATTTTTTTATTTTGAGGACATTTGGATGATGGGAAACTTCGACATTCAGCAATGGAACCAGCATCAGAACCGTGGCGCCCGTACAAACAATTTGAAGGAGGCCTGGCACAGGTGAACCCCCAGTATTTGTTCTAAAACCAATTCCATTGCTGCCTCTATAATTATAACCAAAGAAATCATTTAATAATTGCAGGAAAATAAACAACATGGTTGGAAAAGCTCATCCAAACCTGTTCGCCTTCGTGGATCTTCTAAAGAAGGATGAGGCCACGAGTCGAGTATCCCTGCTGCAGCTGTCCAATGGCGGACAAGCTCGTAAGCGACTAAAGAAGTGGAACGAGAAGGACGACGCCATCGAGGAGCTGGAGGACGACTTGCGGGACGGCGCCCTAAACTTGAACGAGTTTCTTCAAAAGATCCAACGCTACTGCGGCATCTAAGCGTACCAACTCTGTTGCTATGCAAATGTTGTAAATATGTTCTGTGAATAAATAGGTTTCATGAAATGCTAACAGCCATTTTGAAGCGTTGTTAGATATAGGATTAAGCAAAGTGCATCAAGGGGCCGGCCAGGGATCCAGCTACGTTATAGAACTACGTTACAAAGACTGGTAAAAAGAGTTGAAAAACTTCGAGGGCAAGGAAAAAAAAACACGGGAACAATCTGGGATGTTGAGGACACGGGGCTGTTAACACGGGGGAATTGAGTCATGGGCTTCTGAAACGGGGGCTTTTGCAAACGGGGCAGAAAGAACGGGGCGCTTGCCGCGGGGCTAATGACACGGGGCTTTTGACATCGTGGGCTTTCGTGCACCACCCGTCCCGATGACCGGGGGACCAGATACCAGGGGATTCAAATGGCGCTGCGGCCTCCCAGGGTTTAAAGCCCCTTGATAAAGGTGTTTCACAAGTACCGCCAACCATTGTTGTGGAAATGCGCAGGACACGTGCCACGAGCGGGTGCTCCGCCGCCATTCGCTTCCAGGGGCCGCTCATTTCAGTGCTGCGCCGCCATTTGCTTCCAAGGGCCGCTCGAGACCTGGGCCACGTGCGCTCGCGCATTTGGCGCTACTTGCAAAGACAAACGAAAACATATCGAGGGGCTTTACCAGGGTTTGGTATAGGAAGTTGCACTCCTCTGTGATGATGGAAGCAACAGTAACGATCCGCGATGCTCCGCATCACCCCATGGTTTCCCTCGGGAGGATGCATGTAATATTTTTTGTTGCGATGCGATCTAGTCGCATCGCGCGATTGCTTACATCGCCGGTGTGAATGCGATGCGCCGGCCTGCCCATACCTCTCAGCCGTTTGGTGGTTTTTTGGTGGGATTCCATCAAATACGTACATTATAATAACTCTATGATCAAATAGGACCATCTGAAATAAAAGGAAAAAGAAAACAAATTTTCGAATTGATTCAAGGCTAGGTGGCGCAAGCTACCGCCCCAGATGAAGGGAGCCAATATCCATTCATCCATCCGCGTTCCGTAAGATGGACGACGACGTACACATCGTCTCTCCGCCGCGGCGCGCTTCAAGGAGGCGGTTTTTTATCGAAGATGACCTCCTACTCCTCAGTGCGGTTCAGGACATCATTCCCTTTGCTGACCGGGCGCGCTGGGCAGCGGTTACAAGAAAACTAAATGAAGCAGCCGACAACACGTTTACCGTCCGCGCCGTCCAGGATCGATGCGATCTCTTGATAGCCCAGTTCCGTAGTCAAGACCGCACGAATCTGCGCAAGTAAGTTATAATTCCGTTTTGCTTCGTGTCAAACGCGGGAGGAAAATCGAGCAGCATTTACTCTCCTTTTGATTTCCTCGAAACGTAGGTCGGGGACCGAGGAGCAGTACGCGAAAAAAGAGAAGTTGCTCCAGGACATCTCCGACTTGGCCAGAGCATTCGGACGCCTACCGAAATTGCTGCCAAGGCGGGCCGCCACATGTCCTACGGGCACCACGGGTACAGAGGCGACGCCGGCCGCCAGTCCGGGGTTGAGTGCGGCTGCGCAAGTGCGCGCGGTACACGCGATGAGAGACGCTGCCACCTCTGCTGCACACGAAAAACATGTTGCAGCAGCAGCTGATCACCTGGTGGACGAAAATGGTATGTCTTAATTATGGCGGTAAATAGTCGAATACTGAGTTTTATAGCTGAATCTCGTTCCACTGAAATGTCGGTGCGTAAGCGAGGCTTTAACAACACATTTTGTTTTTGGCGCCCTTCCATCTACTAATACATGCCTTGCGCCTGACGTCACGCCGCGATGTCCCGCCCTCGATCGCCATTGCTCCGTACCTCCAGAGGACCGGAGAACCTCCAAAACGTAGTCGACGGCGTGTTTCGTCCGACCGTGACATTTTTATGCAGCTTGAGAGCGTTGCGTTTTTCTTGCGTGTGTTTGTTGTTTTTTGCACAATTTGTAAACAAATCATTTTAATCTATTCTTACCAGCGCCTTAGGGCTAAATATGCCGTCGCCTTAGGAGCGGGCGTTGCCGCTTTGCGGAGATTACTTCGACAAGGTAGTTGGGCCTACGAGAGCGAGATACGCGAAGAAAGTGGAACTTTGCGACGGCAAGGATCCCTATAAACTTTGCGTCGGCGTGGACACGACATTCGACGCCGCCTTTTTCCCTAACGTAACTTGCACAGCCTCGAGCGCTGCGACTCGAGGCTGTGCGATCTCCTTCGTCCGTGTAACCGAGCTTCAAACTCGGCGCCCAATCAGGGTTCGTGTCATCGAACAACTTAGGAGCTCCTGTAAAACAAAGAAAAGACGCCATTCGCTGACGCGCTCACGTTCACGAAACTCGGCGCAGCAGACAATGCTGCGCCGAGTTTTACATTCAATTTTGCGACAGCAACCGGGTGAACGCGTCCCGAAAACGGAGAACGACAAGAAGCATTTCTTACCTGTAAGAAAGTGCTCGCTGCACACCTGTGTGTTCACGTTCGCGACCAGGTCAGCCCTGTTAATCTTCGCAAACCACATGCTCCTTCGCTTCTTTGACAGATCACCTTCGGTAGTTTGAAAAATTTCGCATCACTGACAGTGTTACGATCACGACGCTTGTTGCTCTTAGTCCTGTTTGCACAATTAATAACCGCACATGCAACCATTCTACGTAGCAAAACCTTCGCTCAGCAAGGCAAACTGACGGCAACTCTAGGCAACTTCCTATGCAGCGATGACGATTTGGTACGGCGTGATGGCGACAGCCCTTCCAGCATGCAATTTTAATGACGTAGGTGCAAGCCATGTATTGAACTCTTACAGAATGACTGCATGCCTTTTGTATATAGTTTCTGTCATATATTGAACCAACAAATGCATATCAACAATAGCAACACAAAGTAGGTGTTGTTTATCCGAAACCTGGCTGTGGGTTCACTGCTGGTGGCTTATGTTCAAAGCAGTAGAAACTTTCCACTGATACTGCTTTCCAGGCAAGCAATAGGTGAGAACAATCGCCACCGCAGTGTACCAACGTCTTGAGATGTTGTGTGTCCTTAATCCATTTGAGAGAGAGAGAGAGAGAAAAACTTTATTTTAACCGAAGAGTGGAAGCTCTTCGATCTTAGCCCAGGTCCGGGCCTATGTAGCGGTGCTGGTCTCCGTCACCCATCATAGAGGTTAATTTGTAACGGACAGGAAGCCATCTTCAGGGCCGCTACACTGGCAGTTATTTCGTTATATCCGCACTCTCCTTGGCCTATCGCACCTCAGCTGTTCCTTGCCGTGATGTGGCGCTGTGCTTGGTGGCCAGTCTTCCTATACATAGTTCTCACGTGACGTCACTTCCTCTACTACCGCCTGCCGGCCGCCATTGGAAGGTACTGAGCAGCAGACGCAGACACTACCGCCGATGGATGTACGCCGCTCGATCGCGACTTTGCTACGGAATTTGTATTGCCCGTACAACGCGATGGCAAAAAGCCATTCGCCATGAGTTCTGCCCTTCCTATTTCGAAGAGCTTGCAGGCTCCACACGGGCTCGGTATGAGTCTAAATTGAAGATGTGCGACAGCGTCAATTTGTGTGTGCTGCGATTTGGCTTGTTTTGTCACGTGTGTATCAGTGGGACATGTGTTAACCCATCCGGTCCACCCATTTACGCCCCTAAGCGGCGGCAGTGTAAGGCGGCTCATTACAAAAGAAAGCAAAAACAAATTTGGTCATTCATTTTCCGTTATCCTTCCAAATGGCAAAGTAAACTAAATTAAGACACACTTTCTGTGTCATACCACGCGGAAAGCGAGCACAGCTAGACGAATTGCGTCACTTGTGTGTCATATCTCTTTTGTGGGGTTTAGACCTGAAACGGCAAACATTTTGAGCCAAAAAGCTTCAACAAAGAGTGTTTAGTCGTGCAGTGAATGCAATGCAAGCCGCCCTGGCCTCCTGCTTAATCCGGCCCATGCTTTAGGGGGCGCCCTCTCGAGCCATCGACACAAAGTGCGGCAGCCGTGACCGCTCGCTTAGCTCACTGCCCCTCCTCTCTTAGAGATCATATATACTAAGTCTAGTGGAAAATGTCCGCCATTTTCCCATGCATTCTGGCTACCGCAAGCGGCAGAGCATGAAGGCAGACCTTTGCGGTCTGCCTCCATACCAACTGCCTTCAATTTCACGAACATAATTATATCATCAGAGCAGTGTCATGAACTTTAACAATCCACCTACTAGTTGAAAGGTGTTTGCATTTCTTTCAAAGCTTTCTTTTTGCATAGCGCACAGGTACATGGCCTCGCGTCAACACAAAACCAAACCAGATAAGCTGCTTTGTGCTATGGTTTTGATTGGCGCAAGTGGGTGCGCCACAGGAATACGAAACCACGCAACCACCAGATTTCCGAGATTTCGACAGAAGGCAAGTTAATGCAGCGTAATGACTTTATTGATTTTTATCAGCGTTAGAATAGCTCAGAATTTAGTTTACAACGTTAAATTATCACCGTTTATTTTGCTGAGAGTTTTCAGTTTTCGCGATTACGATTGCAACTGTCGTCCTTCAGCTGGCAACATTGGTTTCTTTCTCTCGTGTTCTGTCGCGCCCTTTTGCAACCTTTCACTCGGGACCTCAGATGCCGCTGCACAGGATATGCCACCCCTCCCTACCCACCTTTACCACCCTGGCTCCTCTAGAGCGCCGCGCGATTTAGGGTAATAATAAAAAATAAAAATATTAAAAGTAAAAAATATGCATTTAGCAAGCACTTTTGGTTTAGAAAGAATAGTCAAGGTAAAATCAAATCAAGCCGGCTGAAACAAAAGAGAACTTAAATCCAGCATAAAAGTTGTTGGCTGCATTCAACCAAAACAATCCAATCCGTAGATCCAAAGTGCTCTAACTTGCCATTCGACGCCGTTCGACAAAAGTTTGCGACAATGACCACTGTGTCGTCTGCGGTTGTACCAATCATCTTTGCTGCAAACTTTTAGATTTCCGTCGAAACTCTTGTGAAACACGGACGGCTCGCTGTGGGAGGCAAGCGGGGATTGCCGGATCTGCAGCGCGCACTTCATCACAGATGCGACTTTGTAAGCTTCTGGCGAGCTTTGCTCGATTATAACGTGGCGCTGAATTCTAGGGCGGCCACCGGGATCCAGGGACCGCCCGGACTTTGTGCGCACCGTGTTCAACGACGCAAGGGCTCCTGGCGAGTCTGCAGTGCAGTCGCAAGACCCCTTCCTGGAGTGGCACAAAGGTAAATGTGACATTTAAGTTGCCATCCTACATTCAGTTGCCTTTATACTTCACCTCACAAACATCTGCAGTGCAGACAAAGCCATGGGCACGAGCACGTGGCTTTGAAAATAGCCTTTTATGCACGAGTTCTCGTACAATCAAAAGCATGGTACACGAAGTTAGCGCAATGGACGAACGCACGAAGGAGTAGACGGGACAGAGCGCTACTTACAACTGACATTTTATAAGAGGATAAAAGCAGACAAAGATAAAATTGAGACTAAAATCATAGAAAAAGGAGAAGAGAGAATATGCTGGAGAAGGAAAGGAAGAAGACAATATCGGAAAAATTCAAGATAAAGAACAAGAATAAAGGAAAAGAAACAAAGCAGGAAAATACACTAAGAAAAGTTAAGAACGGTACTAAAAAATTCAAAAAGGAAGATATTTCGAGGAAAAAATGCTATGAAAAATAGTACAGGTACTGAAGTTCTTTTGTTGACCAGTTTATCGACGGAGCACTAACACACGCATCCCCTCACCTATTTCCCGTGTTCTTTTGTCCACACTTAGTCGCAGGATCATTGTACGAGCAAACAACGCTATGTTCTCTTCTAAAGAAGAGAACATAGCGTAGTAAGAAACGTGCTTTCACAGAACAAGCGTTCGCACTGCGTGTCAATCGGCGATGTTCATAGCGCGTATGGAAGCGACGGACCTTGCTATAGTCAAATGTTCTTTCGGAAGCATTTTTTGCATAAAAGAATGAAACTAATACTAGTTTTGAGTATAATGTATCTCTTGTGCAGCCGCGCTAGATATGTACAAAAATATTGGCGTTTTGTTTAGCTTTTTCTCAACGTTTTGTACTTGCCCACCGAGACATGGCCCACTCCACTTTTTTTTTGTGAATTTCAGGCGGCAGGAGTGTGGGCGATGGTTCGAGATATTACGGTAGATATCGCTACTGGTTGTGATCGGTTAGGGTAGCAATGCTGCTCTAAGAATAGCAGATTGAATACGAGTGAGGGCAGCGTGAAACACGTTCAACACAAGAGTGTTGTTGATGTCAAACTCTCGACAAATACTTCACCGTGATGCAAACCCTACAAAGTAGCCAAAAACATACTTTTCATGTCAAACATGAACCAAAGATGCCATCGGTACTCCTAATAAGTTAATTGAGATGTGTGGAGAGAAAAAAACTGTGTATGATTGTTCAATAAACAAACAAATATCTGTAGTGGCCGGGTCCCTTGTAGGTATGATACCTTAAATATCTCGCAACACTCCAACAACTGAAGTTTTTTCCACAGGCTAACTTTTAAAGAGATTGTATAAAAGTTTTTGACATGAAAAATCAAAATTGTCTGCTTCAAAAGTGGGAATCTTTGCTCCTAAACTAGTTGTTTCCTGCTATAAGAGCTGCTCCAAATCACCATTTGTCAGTTACACCACTGAATACTCAAAATAATTAAGTACCCTAATTATACTTAATGCTAATCATTTTCTTTCATGGGCGCTTTGACGCAAACCACAACGGCACCAACCTTTTTTGTTTTTGTGCGATGTGCGATTTGGTTTGTGAAAACTTCCTGTTTATACAGTATACGTTCGCATTATCGCGGCGGGTAGCCCCATTGAGTGTGCTTCTTACCGAGTGTTAAAACTGCTATTGGAAAATTGGTATACTAGCACAACAAGTGAGATGCCAATAACAAGATTCCCCCACTAAACTTGGATGTCTCGTAGCCAGCATGAAACAGCAAGGAAGAAGTCATACTTCCACGAATATAATGTGAAAGCAAGTTTTGATGCACTCAAAAAGGAAAAAAAAAATTATTACTATTATAACGGGAGCTTAGGCCGCACTCGGAACATAGCAGAAATGATGAGGCAATGAAAATCGAAGAAATATCAGTTTGTTTCGACTGCACTCATCCTCGCTGCTCAAGTCCTTCCGTTTGCAATCCATTTAGCGACTTCGCAGATATGCAGCTGCATGGTGCTGCTTGTCTGGTAATTCCCTTTTCTTCAGCATAAACTCCTTGGCTGCTCACAAGCAAAGCAAGGTACGAAGCAGAAGCACCAACACACAAACTCCAGACTGTTCTGGAGCAGAAACTAAGAAATGGACAGTCAGAAAAATGATTGCTAGACCTGATACACGATCACACTCATTCTTGTTCTTGACCCTCCGCATAAACAAACACCTCGCGTTGCATGATAGCATAAACATGGTCATTGGTCTTGGCTTGGCTTGTGTTGACTTGGTTTGAATTGGCCAGTGCCCGCATTCCCACGCGGCACACTGCACTTCTGTGGTGCACTTTTCAGTGTGCATTGTACAAACACGAAAGTGATAAAAATTATTTTTGTTTTCTATTCCCCTCTTCACGTGGCCCATTAGCTGATAGATTCCCTCCCACACCCCCACCTCCTTTTCCACCCGATCTCCTGCATTGAGCTGAAGGGATGGCTTTCTCCTCTGGCTTTCTACAGTCTCGCGCGCCTCATGGCTGAACTCGATTCTGAATGCAACGCTTTTGGAGCACGTAATTCTGAAGAAAAAAAACTTGCGTTATATTCGTGTGAATACGGCTCTGTGGAGCTCTCTGCTCCAAAGATTGGTGATCTTGTCTTGCTGTTGGTCGCTTCACCCAACTTCACTAACTTCACCCTGATGTGACTGAACAGCGGAAGGCGAGACTGATTCAGTAAAGGCATGAAAGTGTAGGGCCAGTAGACTTTCCTAATGTGGAGGTAACCGGGTAGAGGTTGCTTTGAGGGCTGATCCAGTTGCTTTGAGGGCTGACCTTCTGCTTCGCCTACATCGACGATATTCTAATCTTTAGCCCAAACAAGGAGCTCCATGAAGAACACTTGCGCCATATTTTTGCTCGACTGGACGAATATGGAATTACAATCAATGTGAACTGGGAGTATCTGAGCTGGATTTTCTTGGACATCACCTGGACCAACTTGGTATTCATCCGCTCAGGTCTCAAGTTCAGGCAATTGAAAACTACCCTGCTCCGACTTCGGTGCGGAAACTTTGTGAGTTCCTAGGCCTCGTCAATTTTATAGGCGATTTATTCCACACTGCGCCGCAATTCTCCAACCACTAAACTCACTTCTCCGTGGCTCTAAGAGGAAGAATGATAAAATTCTGTGGAATGACGCCGCCGAAATTGCGTTCACTCGCATCACAAAAGAACTTTCGAAGGTTACTCTGCTATCTTATCCTAAGTGTGACGCTCCAACTTCACTCATGGTAGACGCTTCCGATACCGCTGTGGGAGCGGTGCTCCAACAATTCGTTGAAGAACATTGGCGACCAGTTGCTTTCTTTTCGAAGACATTATCACAAACTGAAACACGTTATAGTACATTTGGCCGTGAGCTCCTTGGTATCTACCTTGCTATCAAACATTTCCATCACTTTCTGGAAGGTTGAGATTTTTTTATTCTTACCGACCACAAGCCTTTGACATATGCCTTAGCATCTAGCAGCACATCGTATACAGCACGTGAGATCCGGCAAATGGCCTATATTTTAGAATTTACGCATGACATACGTTTCGTAAGAGGCCAACAAAACACAGTGGCCGATGCCCTTTCAAGAATTGCGATAAACACCTGCACACCTGAGAGACACTCCATCGACTTTACAGCTCTTGCTATGGCGCAGAACAAGGATGCGGAACTGAGGCAACTTCAGGAATCCTCGTCTCTAGTGTTTGAAGAGGTGTCTCTGCCATATTGCCCACAACCCCTGATCTGTGATGTCTCTCGTCCCGCTCCTCGACTTTACCTAACACCTGCATTCCGTCGGGTAGCTTTTGATGCCCTTCACACGCTCTCTCATCCAGGCATCAAGGCAACACAACGCCTCATCTCAACGCGCTATGTGTGGCCGAAGAGGAATGCAGATGTCAGACGCTGGGCACGAACATGCTTGAGCTGCCAACGTTCCAAGATTGGTCGTCACACCCTTGGCTGCATTCACACCACCAGACGACCGATTTGACCATGTGCACTTCGATTTAGTTGGTCCCCTTCCATCTTCTGGAGGTTGTCGATATATTTTTACTTGCATCGATCGTTTCACGCGATGGCCCGAAGTTATGCCTATCCCGGATATCACCGCAGAAACTGTCACCCAAGCATTCTTGTCCACTTGGGTTAGTCGTTACGGAGTACCGTCGACTGTCACAACTGATCAGGGCAGACAGTTCCAGTCGACTGTCTTCCACAACTTATCAAAACTCCTAGGCATTCACCACATTCACACGACTGCCTACCACCCGGAAGCCAATGGAATTGTGGAAAGATTTCACCGACAGTTAAAGGTTTCTCTGAAGGCGACCGATTCATCATCGACTTGGTCAGAGAGCCTTCCTCTTATTATGCTTGGACTTCGCACAGCGATCAAGGCTGATCTTGCGTGCAGTGCTGCCGAGCTTGTTTATGGGACTACTCTGCGATTACCAGGGGATTTCTTTTGTTCTTCCACACAGACAACAATGCCTGATCCTCTTGATTACTCATACAGGCTTTGTGCAGCGATGCAGGCGATTAAGCCATGTAGCCCAAGAGAACGTCAACCCCGTGTATTCGTCAGCCCCGAGCTAGAAACCTCCACGCACGTCTTTGTACGTCGGGATGGTGTGCGCAAACCTTTACAACATCCATATGACGGCCCTTTCAAGATTCTTCACCGTGGTCCAAAGCATTTTACTCTTGACATTAAAAACAAAGAGGTGGTCGTTTCCTTGGACCGTCTTAAAACAGCTTACATTGATGAAGCCATCCCAAAACGCCCGAGCTCAAATATCACAAGTTCAACGTCAAGCAGTTCCCTTCCGCCGTTCCCAAGCATGCCCAACGAACTGTTCGTTTTGATCTCGGAAACGCTCCAGGCCTGCCATCATGACACGCTCCTACAATTGATATCGCTCGAGGCCCCTCTGAGGGGCCTCAACGCGAGGGGGAGAACCCTGTAGCGGCAAGGTAATCCGAGCCGACGAGAAGACGACGAGATGGCCAACTAGGAAAATCAGAGGCGCGAGACAGGAGCTCGAGCAAAGCAGAACGACTCCGGATTTTGACGGTGACAGACACCCACCTATCTGTCACGCAATAAAGGATCCTACACTATCAAAGGATCAACGTTTATTTTTATTTATGTGTTGATTTGTGAAGGGCAAGGTGCACACAAACGCGACTGCTAAAAGACGCGCCTGTCAAACATTACGAGGTAATGCTGCCAAGGTAGTGCATGCAACCACCCAATAATAATGTATTCGTATGCTAGAGGCTCGATAGCCTCTAGCATACATTTACTGTAAAACCCTTAATTTTCGCTTATTGAAAAATTCGCAAAATTTAAGGGCGCGCAAAAATTTTGGTTTTTGAATGTTTTAATGCAGGCATCAGGAATTTGCGAAATTTAGTGGCCGCGATTCTATCCTCTGTGACTGATTTGCAAAAAATAGAGGCCGCGAAAATAAAAGGTTTTACACTATAACATATTTATTTATTCTCACAGATGAGGTGGCGTGAGACGTCTACCGATTCAGAGGCTTCAGCTTCAGCCTTGTTCATTGATCCATCACTTGTTTAGGATTGCAAATCACATGGCTATGGTGGCATATGAGGAGGTGTGCCAAGCAGAAAATTCAATGCGTGCCACTTGTTCGTGATGCCGCGCGATGGCACCAGACGCAGGGTCCTAGTGGCTTTTTGCAGGCGAGATGGAGAAGCGCTACGGTTCCGCAGGTCTAAAGAATTGCTCTTATGATGCGAAAATGTGATATTTTACTCAAAAACGTAACTAACAATTCCAGTCAACGAGTAACTTTTGCAATCCTATATTCTGTAAGACTAGATAGAGGAAGTGGAATTTTTGCCAGGTACTAGGCTAACATTGGCAAAGAATGAACAGTGTAAAAAGTCTGCCATTGCTTCCTCATTGTTTTTTTTTATTCACAAACGTGCCATGAAATTTGTATAAAATTTGTCATTTGCACAAACATTACAAAAAAACATTGACTTGTCCTCAGATGTTTGTCACTCGTACCATATATTTTTGGCCATCTGATGTGTCCGTTCAGTAGTTCTTTAGCATGTCATACTGTTGAAAGCATTCAGGGAGGTAGAGAGCAACAAACTGCATCTGAAGGCAAATGAATGTTTCTTTTAATGTATGTGCAAACTGTTGTTTTAAATAAAGTGTTCAGAGCAACAACGAGGGGGTTACAAACACATGCAAACAAAAGTTCCTGAATTTCTTCATTTTGACTAAAGACCTCCTCATTTAGGACGTGCCATCTTTTCCCATGTTGCAGGCCTCTAATTCTTTTTCAGTTTCGGGGGGGGGGGGGGGAAGGGGGGGAGTTGCAGTTTTTTTTTTTTTTTAATGAATATGAAATAAACAACAGAAACACTCAAATAGTGGTAGCACTGCCATCTGTTGGAAAGTGGAGAAACAAGTTTCCAAACTCAAACATGAGCCAGACGCGTGGTTCGGCTTTCTGGCCCTAACGGAGAGCAGGAAAGACACTCCAATTACCAGCCTACTGTGCATAACAATCGAGATTAAGAAACGAAAGCTTTTTTTAACAGTTAAAAACTAAATTGGCTGCTGTTTGAGGCAAAGACAGGGGCACTAGGGACGGACCATGACCTATAGGTGGAGATGTGAGGAGACACTCAGGGCACAGGCGGAGGCAACAGTGGAGCATGTAAGTACTGTACATATACCTAAACCGAGGGGAAGTTTTTCATTGCTTGAGGATGGGAAGGGCTAATGAAGGGATAGGGGATCTCCAAAAGGTTAACCCTTTGCCTACTAATAACGAGTCACTCGTGCCACCCCTTATGGCCGATTCACACGACGGACTGATCCACAGACGGATTGATCACATGACGTGTCCGCGGTTCGTTCATCTCCCAAGCGCATCCACACGAGGGAGACGACAAGCAGACGCCAGCAAGGATGGACTGAACCTGTTCGCCACCCCAGAGTGCCTTGAAAATCCAACATTGCACCGTGGTTCAAGAGAGAAATTCATGTTTGCTAGTGCGATAAAGAATCATACTGTACGCCGCTGTTATGCACTGATTGAGACAAAACACTGTGATAGGCTTCGCGCAAATCAACACTGGCTTTACTAACCCAAGGCATGACAGTGACACGGGCATGGTCTTGCTCGAGAAGGCTTCGGCATAGTGACGATGAAGTTCTGGGCTTGCGGAAGGGGGGGCTTTTGGAAATGCCTTCTCGTGCTCCGAACTGAACACTCAAGTACTTACACCACAGCCACAAGAAAGGTCTTGCTCAGTAAAAGAATTTTTGTGGCGTGCCAGACGAGTTTTGTCGGAAGCTTCTTGACACGGACCCGGAGGAACACCGGAACCTGCGTCGTGTCAATTGAACAATGTTGCTGCAGTTTCTTTGTCGTGTGGAACCAAGAATAGCGCGACGATATGAACGAGCAAATACACAAAACACAACAATCCGCCATTTTTGTTTTAATCGTCAGAAAACACAAAAGCGAGAAAACATTGAACCGTTGCCAGACTAAATGCTTTTCATGTCAATCTCCTACCAAAATTCCACTAGTGAAAAGGCACTCAACTTTATCATTCCGCACGTCTGCAGGAATCAGTGATGTTACGGTCACGCGGTACAAGGTCTGCAGACGAAAATCACGATTCGGCTCGTGTGAATCGGCTATAATGGGCTGTAAAGCTCGACCATGAGCGTGACTCTTGTTTCGGTTTCGGCGCTTGTTTAGCGCGCTCTATTTAACAAAGAACGAAAAAAGAAGTCACTTGTGAGCATTTGCGCTATAACAGCATGGCTCTTGCACCCTCCACGCCAGAGCCATGTTGTTTTAGCCGACGAAGAGATGCAAAACCTTCTTTCTGAAAGTGATCAATGCTCGGGTATATATGACAACTCATCCTTAAACCTATCCAATTTTTTGGAATCGGACAATACCTTCTGATAGCAGTGATGAAAACAATTTGAATCCTGCTAGTATTCTATCAACTTCAATGTCTGCATGTCAGTGTGACTTGAACCAGAGGTCCGGTTTTAGAGCAAAATACCACGCCAGGAAATTGAAGAAATGTTTTTGTCTTATTTTCACTCAAATTGCCAATTTAAATAAATTTTGCTGTAAGTTCTTCAAAGGAAAAAAATGAGTAGGCCAGGTGTTAAGCAAACGAAGAGTATACTAGGAAAATCATGGGAAAAGCTAAAAAAAGGTCACTGAAGAAAAACAAAAGAAAACAAGGAAGTTGAGTTTTACTATGGGCAGAGCATCTCAAGGGTTTGCTCAAATCAGACTGCCATGCCCCAATTAATCCATCCATCCAGGATAAAAAAAATATTGTTGAACCAAATATCTTCACATCTAAATTTCACGCAATTCTGTCTTGCTGGTTTCCAGAAAGCTCCTGCCTATTCCAGCCGTTTCCACTAGCCGAATGATAATGGTCACCATTGCCCTAGGGACAGCAGTAAACTGCTGTCTTGGGATGGTGGCCACTGTGTTAAAGGGGTACTCTGGCGTTTTCTTTGTAGTCCCCGATTTGCATGAAAATTTGCTAAACATATCAACAAACATGGCTGAAATAGTAACCTAGATATTTGGCCAAAAGTATGTTTTTTTGCAAAGTTACTGAATTTACAACTTTGGTTTCACAGTGTTTCTCAAAGTGAAAAGCTCTACTGGCAACAATGATGTGGGGGAAGGCAGGGGCTCAATCTTTGGGCTGTAGACTTTGTTCCCAACTGATTGCGAACAGTTTCATGGTGTCAAATGAATGCTCTGGAAGGTTGCTCCTGCACAGCAGCACTAAACAGTTGCTCGGCACAGTTCATTTTTAGACTGCCCGCTCGAACCGCAAGCCTGCCTTGCCGTGACGTCACGGCATTTAAAAGTGCGGGTATATTTGAATCTTGGTTTTGGTGTAATTGTCATTGGCCGATTTCGCAATAACTATCTTGAATTTCGCTATACTAATTAGCATACTGTAGAGGGTAAAGGACAGCGATTTCGGAAATATAGTTAGTTGGGGTAGCTCAAGAAATCGCCGGAGTACCCTTTTAAGCTTGCCTCTTTAGTTGGAGTGGGCCGAAATGATTCCAAGTTTATTGGCGTGCATGGTGCTCAAAGTCGGGCAAGTGTGCTGCAGTACCCCTGAGTGGCACTTCAGCGCATCACCATGTGGATCCAGCAATGGGGTAGAAGGGCTTGGAGCATCAAAAAGTTTATCTTTACTCACTGGCACCAAATATGTGACCTAACTATTCTGCTTTTTCCTAGTTTATTTTTTGGCTAAACCAGAGGGTGTTTTGGGTTAAGTTTTGACCTAAAATTAAAAGTTTCCTGAAAATATCAATCATTGTCAACAAATATTTTTTTACTATTTAAGGTTTTTAGTTAAGTAGAGATTACAGTTTCTGCAAATGCATTAAAACAGATTTTTCATAGACAAAAGACGTAGTAGGTACAATGCCGGAAATAAGTGCATATGCTTAATTGAGTAATTGGAATTGGCTTCGTTGAGCAATTGGCAGCAATGATTATTTCCAAAGTCCCATAATGAATGGAATGCAGTATTTGAAAGAGTGAGTTTAAATTTGTTTTGACAACATTAAACAGTCATTTAAGGAAGTGAACATACTGTTTATTCATTGGGTCACGTGATATGAATTGTCCCAAATCTAGCAAAAAAAATTGACATCACGGTGCCAAGTTGTAGTGTCAGGTGGTGCTGACATCGTGTTACCTGAGGTGACCTGACATCACACAGTGTCATATTATGTCTCATAAATTTTCATGCGAAATATAGTGGGTTAATCGATGTCTCGGTTTCAACTCGCGGTGTCACGTCACCAATTATTCAGTGAAACTAGCATGATGCCATGATGTGACATGGTCCAGGGACATCAGTTTTTTATTAAATTGAGATACCATGCCATTGGCATGGTCATGTGATGTCTAGTTTCATGCTCGGTTGTGTGGGGAAATTATGGTGTCATGTGACACTGATGTCACTGTTATGTTATGTGACATGAGATGTCCTGCAGTCAGAGCAACATGAGCGTGCCCCCCCATACAGAGTTACCGTGTAAAGCTATCACTTTAGAAAGCAGCATTTATGAAACAAAATAAGTGCTTAAAGGGGTTTATCTGGTTCACACTAACGAAACAGTTAATAGAGCTAACTTTATTTCAGTGCTTCTTTGAACTGAAATAAAAAGAAAAAAAATTAAACCACTCAGCTGAAGCAGAACTACAATAATGGGTGCTTATTTCTACATGTGGCTATCTTTGTTGTGCTTTCCTAGTGACCTAATACAGATGAGGTTTTGTAGGAGAGGGAGCTACAGTTTTGGCAGAGACCAGCTGCCCACTGAAAGTCACCGAGGACATCTGGTTTGGATGCTGCTCCTGCACCTATGTCACCAGAGATCAGCGTGGGATCGTGAGCCACCTGGTTGCCCATGGTGACGAACAATACAAGTGCCAGCATCCTCCCATCTCATCTGACTCTAGGTCCCAAGTGGCCAGCAACACTCAAAAGCACAAGAGTGAAAAGCCTTTCAAGTGCAAGCTGTGTCCTCAAGCCTTTGCTAAGAATTACAAACTGATCCGTCATAATGTAACACACAGTCGTGAAAAGCCATTTAAGTGCAAGCTGTGCACCCAAACCTTTGGTCAGGCTTCTCATCTCAAAAGCCATAATCTAACACACACTGGTGAAAAGCCATTTAAGTGCAAGCTGTGCTCCCAAACCTTTTCTCAAAATATCAATCTGATCTGCCATAATCGAACCCACACCGGTGAAAGACCATACAAGTGTAAGTTTTGTCCTCTAGCCTTTGCTTGGCGTTCCAGGCTGATACGCCATAATCGAATACACACTGGTGAAAAGCCATTTAAGTGCAAGCTATGCCCTCAAGCCTTTGCTCAGGATTCTCATCTCAGAAGTCATATTCTAATGCACTCTGGTGAACAGCCATTTAAGTGCAAGCTGTGCCCCCAAGCTTTCTCTCAGAATTTCAGTTTGATCTGCCATATACGAACCCACACAGGTGAAAAACCATTCAAGTGTAAGTTTTGTCCTCAAGCCTTTTCTCAAAATTGCAACCTGATCCGCCATAATCGAACACACAGTGGTGACAAGCCATTTAAGTGCAAGTGGTGCCCCCAAGCCTTTTCTCGGAATTCCATTCTGATCTGCCATAATCGAACCCACACAGGTGAAAAACCATACAAGTGTAAGTTTTGTCCTCAAGCATTTTCTCAGAATTCCAGTCTGACCCGCCATAATCGCACACACTGGTAAAAAGCCATTCATTTCAAACTGTGCCCCAAAGCCTTTCCTCAGCGTTGGGATGTGATCTGTCATAATCAAGCACACAGCGATGGAAAGCCATTTAAGCGCAATGTGTGCTCTAAAGGCTTTTTTTCAGCATTGCAATCTGATCTGCCATAATGAAACACACAGTAATGACAATCAATTTAAAGGGGTATGGCAACCAAATTCTGGAGCTCATCTCTGCTTAAACATGAAGCGGATTAAAGTAGCACTTCAGCAATACCAATATTTTGTAGGATAACGCAAGGAAACATACTTTAAACTGAATATAACCACCGTAATATTCCGAGTCATTGCCCATCCCCGAGTCATCGCCCAACCCACTTTTTGGGCCAATATTGATTTCCAAAGAAAGCACCGAGTGATCACCCACCTTTACAAATACCCCAATGTAGACTCCGTGATCCGCAAACATTCATCCTATAGTTAGATGTCCTCTAACCTTACAGTTAGAGGACATCCATGACAAAATAAAACGAAGGAGAGAAAGACACTTCTTTGTTTATGCATTTTCTCTGCAAGCGACCCCAAAGTCGTAGTGTATCCGTGCTAAAACGACCGAGATAACAGAATGAAAGTTTGTTTTGCTTACAGAGAAATCGTCCCGACAAAAAAGAAAAGGGTGGAAAGATAACGCAAGCAGTAACCCTTTCAGGGATTGCGAGGTAAGCGAACGCCCCATATCCGGGAATGTAACCGTTGAGTGTAAGGTCAAAGTCTGTCTCCGCCGAAGTAAGGTTGCCGTGAACCTGCTTCTTCTCCCGCACGTCGCAACAGCGGTTTTGGAATGTTTAGGACAAAGCAAACGGGTAAATAAAGCTTCGCTGCAGCGCCGCACACAGACGTTTGTAGAGCGTCCCATTTCGAGCTCCATGTTCGTGGTGCCGTCCATGCCACGCAGCAACGCTGCCTAACCCGCGTTGATAGCACGCCGTGCACAAAGGCAGGCATGTATGCATTAAATGAGAAAGTTGCGCAAGAGCTTGCGATTGACAAGTCGCCTGACTTGGGCCGACGCCAAAGTACTTGCCAACGCAATCGCCGGCTTTCCCGCTTTCCCAGCATCGCTCTTCGTCGCTGTTTTGGTCCGCTCGCTTGCTCGTTCGTTGCGCCTAGGTAGTTTTTCTATTTTCATGTGGAATTTTTTTTAAACTAACAAGAAGAACATAGCAGTGTAATGTGCTTTCATGAAACAAACGTTCGTGCTGTGTGCCGATCGGCGGTGTTCATGGCGTGTATGCAAGCAACGGACTTCGCGATAGTAGAACATTCTTTCATGAGCATTTTTTTTATAAGGCAATAAAAATAATTCGAGTTTTGAGTTTAACGTATCTCTTCTGCAGCCGTGCTAGATACGCACAAAAAGATGGGCATTTGTTTTTCTGCTTTACTTTACTTTTTAAGCTCAACCGCCAAGACATGCCCCCCCCCCCCCCCCCCCCACTCTTTTTATGAATTTCAGGCAGCAGGGGGGTGGGCAATGACTCGAGATGTTACAGTACATCCAGAAAACCACCTCGTGGTTGCCTGTGAAGCTTCGATGGAATGTCGTGACAACATGTTAGTAAGAGCAGCGCCACAACAAGAAATAGGCTCACTCAAAGAGGTTACTTAGGCCTGAACTCGGGCCTCACCAAGGGCTTCGGGCGCTTTGGGGAGTAACAACAGAGTTGGCCATCATTAGTTTTAGTATTGGGTGATCTTTCCGGCAACACTTGTTTGGAGTTGTTTGGGGATTGTGTACTTGCAATGTAATGTCGACGCTACAAAATGTGTATTTAAATGGGCCCGAATGCCCACCTCTCGTGATGACGGGACAGCCGCCTCGGTCGACTGCAACAAACTCGATCGCTACGAAGTCAACACAGCTACCATTGTTTCTAAAAGGAGATGACCCCGTACGGGCTCTGCAAAGCAGTACACTTGTAAACAAATCGCTGCGGCATTTTCGTGGCTTAAGGGATGTGGGATCTAAGCAAAATCCAAGTAAATACCCGTTCACGCTGGGAGCGGAACCGCACTGGCATCGCATTCTGGTGATCGCCTCTGGAACGATCTTTTGCAACTGATTTTATGAACCGCTGGGCCTATAGAAAATTGCAACTTGATGCTGACGTGACGCATGGCAGAGAAAGATTAGACCGGCATTGAGTAGCTCCCAACAACTGTCCTCACTCGACATGTCTTGGTGTACCGTCACGTCGGATTAATATGTACATACTAAAAAAATTGTATGTACCCATGTTGCAAAGGCAATCCATATGGCGTTTATTTGAGCTCTGTAACACAAAAAAGGAGGTAGAATCGAGGAAAGTGTTCCTTTTCGACGAGAGCGTTTGCCACCGCTGCATCTGTAAACAAGCTAGGGACGACGAGGGGAAAGACTGGCCTTCTCACCTCAAAATAGAGGTCAGGGCTCAAACTTCATATGGGAAGGGTATACAAAGGTCGCATGAGCATGTTCCATTCAGCAAGCCAGCCAGTCGGTCTTGTGCAGATGGTCTTATCCGGGGTCGTCGGAGCAATGTTGCGTCGGAGTGCCTTGCTAGGCCTAGCGTTCCTGATAGTCCTTGGCGGTCGCTTGGTCGGTGGGATTGTTGTCGCAGCTGTTTCGGGTATCCGTAGTTCCAGCATTTGTATCCTTTGCAACGTTCAATTTGAAGAACTTTTTTCTTGGGACGTGCACAGAGAGCACATAGAAATGCACATTGTTCATTGCAACGATGTAAGGACGATGTTGCCAGCAATCTGGATTTTATCATAAAAAGCCCGTAAACCTGTGGAGCTGTCGTAGGCGTAATCGTAGGATTTCCAGATAGCTTATGAAAAACTTGCGACAATTTTGCTTCGTGAATACGGATTTCTTTTTGGGTTTGTCGTAAGATTGTTCCATGAATAAGCTTCGTTACCTGTTGCGAACGACAAAGACAAGGCAGACGGTCGTACAAATACGACTCTAGGCCGAATGGCTTCTTGGCCATCACGACCATTGGTGATGTAGCGGCCTCTTCGTCCACATTAATGCCATCATACCCACCGCTTTCATCGCATTGGTCGGCCACCGCACATTCGAGCCCGCTCCGCCGGCTCTGCGATATGTTATAGCCCTCGAGTACTTCGGCTAAGCGAGATTGTAACGCGTTGACGCCTCAAGTGGCAAAGCTTGTAACTACAGTACACTTATCCCCTCAAGCATGATGACGTCAAGGCCGCGCCGGATATGCCAGATCTCCCGAGATGCATCGCACTCTTCAATGGCTGATTTTGAAACACTCCCAAAAATCCCGTCATTTAAAACGAAAAATATAGCCATCCGCTTAAAATACACCTATGTGATTATCAATTACAGGTTTAGCTAATCCTAATAGACTTATTTCTTGATGTTTTCTGTATATTTCAAGTTTTGATTCAGTATCCCTTTAAGTGCAAGCTGTGCCCCAAAGCCTTTGCTCAAAGTAGTGGTCTGACCTAACCGAATTGAGCACCTAGCTGAAAAGCCATACGAAGCAAGCTTTGCCCCCGAGCCTTTGCTCAGAATTCTCATCTCAGAAGCCATAATCAAACACTCCGGTGAAAGGTCATTTAAGTGCAAGCTGTGCATCCAAGTTTTTCTCAGAATAGCCATTTGCTCGTACACCATTGAGCCCACACAGGTGAAACGTGCAAGTCGTGTTTCTAAAGCGTTTGATTCCGATCTGACCTGCCATAATCGAACACAGTGGCAAAAAGCCATTTAAGTGCAAGCTGCAGCCCCAGGCCTTGGCTTGGAATTTCCATCCTACCTGCCAGATTCGAAAGCACAGGGCTAAAAAAAACATTTAACTTGGCTGGAAACCGATTTTGAGTGTGTGCGCGCACCGCAGTGGTTTATTTTTATTTTATTTATGACATACTGCGGACCTAAATGGTCCAAGCAGGAGTGAATACAGATCGTAAAATACACGACGAAAAACAGTCAACAAAAGATATCAAAAAAGGCCACTAGGTTAAAATATACAGTAAATAACAAATGCAAAAATACAGGACAAGAAGCCTCCAAGAGCAAGATACACATTCCCAGTAAAAAACCTATACGGTCATGAGGTAGGAAGAAGGAAGTGACTCAATGGGCAGGGAATTCCAGTCATTGATTGTTCTTGGAAAAAAGGAAAATTTGAAAAGATTGGTGCGAGCAAAGTACGGAGTCAGTGAATGTTGTTGGTGATGTCTGGTCTGTCTCGTAGCAATGGGTTTTAGATATGCATGGCGATTAATAGATAGCTTATCATTTGCAAGAAGAAACAGAAACTTTAGCCTTGCTATTTGCCTTCGCTCCTGCAACAATTCAATTTTGTTTATCTGCATTAGAGAGGAGGGAGAATCTGATCGCTTGAACTTATCGTAAATGAATCTGACTGCCCGTCTTTGAACCCTTTCCAATTTATTTATGTCTTTTTTGGTAAAGGGATCCCATACAACGCTGGCGTATTCCAGTTTAGGTCTCACAAGCGTGTTGAACGCTAACAATTTTACGTTAGGGGGTGTATTTTTCAACTTGTGTCTAATGAGGCCTAGCTTTCTAAAAGCAGCAGATGTAATGTTGTCGATGTGTCTTGACCAGCCCAAATGACTATCAATTGTCAGCCCTAGATACTTGTAATGGTCTACCTCAGAGACGTTATAATCTTTTATTTTGTACTGAAAGGAGAGGTACTTTTTGTTTGTGATTCTAAGAAAGACAGTTTTCTCGAGATTCAATTTCATTTTCCATTGGTAGCACCAGTCTTGTATAGAGTTTAAGCTTGAGTTAAGTGCGAGTTGGTCATTAGTACACAAAACATCTTTGAACAATACACAATCGTCCGCAAATAAACGAATGTTCACTCCTGGGTCCACAACAGAAACAATATCATTGACGTATATCAAGAACAATAGTGGCCCAAGGACACTTCCCTGGGGTACAACGGAAGTCACATCAAGCATCTCTGAGCAACCAGAACCAACCTCGACATACTGTCTACGACCATGTAGATAGGATCCGATCCATTTAACGATGGCTGGGTCAAGACCAATACTTTCCAATTTAAAAAGCAGTTTACCATGTGGCACTCTGTCAAATGCCTTGCTGAAGTCTATGAATACGGCATCTATCTGACCAGATTTATCCAAAGTGGAGGCAAATTCGTGCACCGTGGTGACTAGCTGTGTCACTGTTGAATAGCCCTTTCGAAATCCATGTTGAAACTCGGTTATTAAGTTATTTTTATCAATGAAGTCAGTTACCATATTTGAAATTATATGTTCTAGTAACTTACACGATGTACACGTAAGCGAGATTGGCCTGTAGTTGCTCCCGACTTTAATCTTGCTTTCCTCGGGGACAACTCCTCTTGGCAATGCAATCAAAGGTACTGGCACACATGCCCTCTCCCATTTTGAGCACTGATCAAAGCTGTACACTCTTCTCCGAAATGCCAAGAGAAGTTGTCTTCAAGTATAGTCAAATTCCCAGACCACCCAACAGGTTTCACTATGGACTGACTGCCTACTGCTTTTAATATTGTGTAATACACGTTCCACGCTGTGTTGACGAAAGGTGGAGAGAACTGAACTGACCTGAACTTGCTCCTACTGAAACTTGCCTTCCTTCTCTGCACTGGCATCATCTTCATAATGTATTTATACGACACATGCTTTTGTTATATCGGTCTCTCTTGCGTTTAGGTGATCACAATATTCTGTTACTCAGTGCTTTTGTTCCCGATGGTTTCCATGTTGCTGAGTTCTGCATGTCAGAATTCCCTGACCACAGGCGTCATGTACGCCAGACAATGTCTTTTGTACAAGATCCTGTGAAGTGTGCTTAGTTTTGCATTGTGTAATGCACTTGTATATATGTGGTGGGGATTTTTTTACTCTTGTTTGTATTGAGTAAACATTGCAGATGATAAATGTGTAATCCGACATATTTGTCCGTGTTTCTCACAAATAAATCTTGACAGTTTGAGCTTTCACAGTGCTTTATTGTTGTTTTTGAGCCATTCCAGGTCTTAGCTGAATTTAATGTGTCATTGGCATAGCAGCTCTCTGGAAAGTTCTTGTTTTGCTGTCCTGTGCCATGCTGTGGCAGTTTCTTCTCCAAAAAAAATTGACCGCCAAGTAAATGTGCATACCACAGCACATAGGTTTGGACTAGATTGAATTATGGTGGCCATTCCCTTTGTATTGGGGAATAGAGTCCATGCTCTGCTCCAGCTAAAAGTAACCTGTAACAACAAAATCCCCCCCCCCTCAAAAAAAGAAGAAAAAGGTTGCGGCAGTTTTTTTTTATTTACAAGAGTTAACTATGCATTGCCAAACACTGATTCTCCTACAAAATGTAACCCTAGCGGTCCAAACCAGATGACAAAGCTTCAGAACTAACCGTTATAGTAAATTTATAAGCAAATTTCAGATTTTAGGAAAATGACAGTCAATAGAGTTAACATGGAGCTGAATGGTGCCAGTTACTGAAGACGAGCTAAAATGGGCCCCATTTTTCCATTGAAATTTCTAGAAAATCATAACTTTTGAATGAGCTAACGTTTAGTTCCGAGACTTTGACATGTGGTTCCGACTGCTTGTGCTACACTTGGGTGTTGAAGGAGCGTTCGGCAATCCATAGTTTATTTTTGCAGTGAGAAAAAATGAAAGCCGTTTACAACTCCCTGTAATGCCGGATTAGAGCGCAGCTCTTGAGAGGGAGGAGGGAAGGTACGGAGAGGGGGCTAGGCCCTTCGTCCTCCTCCTACTCGCCTCCCATTTAGGGGAAAATTTTCTGCTAAATTTAGCGGAAAAAACTTCCACTAGATTTTGCTGGGAATTTTTTTCGCTAAATTTGGCGGGGAAAATTTTTTGCTAAATTTAGCGGGGACTTTTTCCGCTAAATTTAGCGGGGAATTTTTCTGCTAAATTTAGCAGGGGAATTTTTCTGCTAAATCTAGCGGGGAATTTTTTCCACTAAATTTAGCGGGGAAAATTTTCCGTTAAATTTAACGGGGAAAATTTTCCGTTAAGTTTAGCGGGGAAATTTACCTATCATGCACCGCGCAATTACGGCGACGCCGACGCCGCTCAAGCCAGAAATGGGTGCCTAAGAGCTGCGCTCTAAAACAACATTTTTTGGGGTGACACGTTATACATGATGTACTTCTTGCTCTAACGCCACCAGTCCTCCAGCTTTCTTTTGGTGGAATCTCTAATGCTCGGTTGTTGCGCTGCATCTGTCTGCCGAATCTATGTTAGCTTCCACCCCCGTCCAAATGGCAAGAACCTCCAGGAACAAGTCTGCAGTCTATCACTATGTGTCTGTCTCGCAGATGGCGCAAGCGGTCTCCAGGTCTTTGATGGAACAAGCTCTCCACTCTCTTGTGTGGAAAGTCCCTCCCTGTGCATCAAATAAAAGACGACTTCCCCTGGTGTTGTAGAAACTCTCTTTCCGAAAGATGGCCTTCTGTGCCCCGTGTATCTGCAGCAAAGATTTTTAGGCCATCCTATTCCTCCAACATTGTGCCTCGTCCTCTTGCACGAGCATCCTTGCCTTCTTGTCATCGGCTTTAGCGTCGTCCTCCGGCTCCTTGCTGCCCATCAAAGTTTGTGTTGGAATGTGACAGCAATGTGCAAGCGTCCTTGTTCCTTTCCTCCATTTGCTGTTCTGACCCTTGTAGACCATGTTGGTCCAGATCTTGTGGGACCACTTTGTCTGATACATCTGGCTTGGGGGTCTCGTATCCTGTCTTCGCCTCAGTCTCCTTGACTCTGAAGCCAAGCCGAGGTCTCCTTGGGCTGCTTCATCGGGGCTGTTGCAGGGAGCTGTGGGGGCCACTCTTCTAGCCTTTCGCTGCCTTATCTTTGAAAAATTATGTGTGCTTGACTCGATGCAAGCCATCGTTTTAGAAGATGCCTGGAACAACTGCCGCATTACGCAGGCTTCTCAACACTTAAAAATGGTTGCACGCGCCCAAATAGGCTTGCTTGCAAGGATTCATTTTCCCTTGATTGCTCTTTTGCGGAGCTGTTCTTCGTGTTGTATTAGATAATTCGGCCCGCAGACACTTGAAGGCTTGCGCTGATGAGGCCTCAAAACCGAAACTTGCGTATCATGACTGTGGCCGCTACTACCCAATCTCGTAGTTGCACCACTTGTTCAAATCAATTTGTTTATTTACTCCCATCATACATATGGGAGTAGGAGGCAGAACAACGCTGCAGAAGTGCAGCTTGCAGTAGGAGTCACTGTAAAATCGCCAGTAAACACACAAAAATGACACCGATACAATTATCTTGTCGAATATCACCTCTTCTAGCAATAACTGTGTCAATATGAATTATATGTCGCATATTTAAAAGGAAAACTCTTTTTGCCAGGAAAAACTAAATATCTTAGTCTGGCAACAATGTGTTTTTGCCAAATCGTTGCCACATGTTTGGAAAAGTTCACTAACACTTCGGCTTTGCCTAATCCTAAGATTCGGCGCTGCATTTTCGATTCGGCAAAAGATTGGGATGTCCGGATGTCTCGTTCATCTGTCTAGAGTCCAAGCTAGAGTCCCTCGTAGAGTGTCTACGCTAAAGTTGGTCTATGTCTACAATCTTGTTCTATGCATCTATGCTGTTTGTGCTCCCAATTTTGACAAGCCTTCCAAAGATTTGGGCATGAACCTGACATGAAGTGGCTTAAAGGGCAGCTCCGGTCAATATTTTTTTTTAATTTGACAGTATAACTCTTTAGCTAAAGCAGTGTCCCTAATTACAAGGTATAATTTCTTTTTTGATATTGTGTGTAGATTTATAAATAACACAGCTTAAAGTTTAGTTGGGCGCCTACGGCAAAACCGGAACTATCTG